TTTGACTTTGCTATTTACGTAGCATTTACATTGTATTGGGTATTAGAAGCAATCTAGAGAGGATTTAAAGTCTACAAGAGAATGTGCATAGCTTATATGCAAACACTCCACCATTTTATATAAGAGACTTGTGTAGCGTGGATTTTGTTGTCTGAGGAGGTCCTGGAACCAATCCCCCTTGGATACCGAGGGACGACTATATTATTATTATTATTATTATACCTATTTTGCAGATGAGAAAACCATAAAGTTCCCATCGCTCCGGGAGTTGGCTTACCCCACATCTCACAGCTCACGAGCTGTCAGGCTCCGGAGCTCCTATCCTGATCTCGCTCTAAAGGGCTGGCCGAGAGGAAGGCTCATTCCAGTGAGCAGAGCTTAAAATAAGGACTTTCCTGCCTGAAAGAACTGTCCGAGGTGTTGCAGTTTACAAGGCTCCTGTTGTCTTTCACAAGTGGAAATTCTGCCACTAGCTTTTGTGTAATTCTAAGAGAGAGCAGAGTTCTAAGAATCGATCCCTCATGACGTTAAAGTAGCAAGGGTATCTGTAAAACATAATTTGTCCCCCAAAATGCTTGTCATAGGTATTATCCTTTGATTTAGCTCTGCGTTTAATAAAGCTCAACATTTCCTTGGAGACCCCAGGCCTGGAATTTCACATGATGGAAGAAGGACACTCTTCTGGGTCTTGAGATTTAGTCATCAATATTTAAAGCCATTTCTATGTGGAACACGGAGCTCCCAGTCTGAAGATGCAAAGATGTGTAGCTATAATACTGTGTCCCCTGGGAGCAGGGGCAGGACCCTCCCGGGTTGCAGAGAGGGAAATGAGCTGGGGGAGTCGTGGACCACTGAGAACCACCCCTGGGAGGAGAGGCCCTGCTAAGAAAGGGAGGATAATGCCAAGGTCAGCTGCTACATTTCTTTTAAAAAGAAAGATACCAACTGAAGATCATTCCCATCTATTTTTCACAGTGAGCTGGCAAACTTCAGCATTTCCCTGTTCGGTCATTAATGACAGAGATCTTTGGGGCCATGTGGCTAGGTCTCTGTAACACACACACACACACACACACTCACACACACACAAACACACACACACACAAACACACACACACACACACACAGACATTCATGTACTCAAAATTGGTAACTGTCTGTGACTGAGTTAAAGAACTCCCAGAAATCAAACAATGAAGCTAGAACACTCCCTTACACCATATACAAAAACCAACTCAAAATGGATTAAAGACTTAAACACAAGACAAGATACAATAAACCTCCTAGAGGAAAACATAGGCAAAACATTATCTGACATACATTTCAAAAAGTTTCTCCTAGAAGAAATAAAAGCAAGAATAAACAAATGGGACCTAATGAAACTTACAAGCTGCTGCACAGCAAAGGAAACCAGAAGTAAAACAAGAAGAAAACCTACGGAATG